ATGCCTGAGAGCACGGCCTTTTGACGAACGCGTGGCCACCACCAGCCTCAGTGGACTCGCTCGCCACTCCGCCCCAGTACTGGTTCGACTTGTCCTACGCCTTCAGCGCCTGCAGCCTTCGCCTGAGCCCCTGTGCGTGGGCGCTACTCAGCACCGCGTCCATTGCCAGGACGCCACAGCAACGGCCGGCCGCACGGGCCACTCTTGCCGAAGATCTTCATGCAGTAAGCGCCCTCCCCTCATCGCCCTTGCTCCGCGGCCACCCTTTGTCCTGCCCCCTCTCGCGCTGCCGAACAATTCGCACGCTTTCTCCAAGTGTGGGAGTTACTGTTCGCAGCTGGTCTTTCGGTTCATCTATGGGCGATGTGTGTTTTTCAAACCTTGTCGCCTCCTACGGCAGGTTCGCGCCGCGTCGACGCGGCTGCGACGGTTGTTCGGCCGTTCGAAATTGAACTCCTTCTGGGTTCCCTTGTTGGGTTTTGGGACCCGCACAAGACATTTTGCAGTGCGGAAGTCACGAGACAGTGCAGATGCCGTGCGCCAGCCCTTGGTACGACGCTTGGGCATCGTATCGAACAGCGCGTTGATTATCTGAAATGTGTAGAGGATTGGACAAACAAGAGTGTTAAGGAGAAGGACGCAGACGACAACGACGACGACGACTATGATGATGACGATTGCACTGAACACGCCGGTCGTTGAAACTATATGTTTATGGATACCAAGATCCAAAATCTATTTCAAGCGACTTTCTACTCCAACAATGGATATGTTTTTGCTGCGTTGTCTTACTGTTTGGCAGGGCTTGAACTTGTGATCCGCCTTCATAATCAATGTTTTACCCACTTCCGACCGACGTGTACTGTGGACCCTTTGCGAGCGGTGTCTTTTTGGTCGCCACTTCTTCAATATTTTAAATTGTGGCGGCAAGCGATGCGACTAGCGCCAGCATGTTGCGGTAAAGTAGGGATCGCCCGGAGTACATGTCGAACAAATGTCTGTGGCACGCCTGCGAAGGGGAGGGATGGTCCCTCAGGCAGTCTGCGACAACCTGGTTAGCGGAGTGGCCCCCGAGGCCGCCGTGCCCCCAAGGAGGCAAGACCAGCAGCATCGTTGTCAACAAAATTGCCATCAAGAGCTCCTTCTTCCCCCCACCCTCCCAACCTCTCTCGCATCCCGCCCCTTCCCCCCCTGTCCCTTCCCACCGACTCTAGCCCGCCTGGTCGGCTGGGTTAGGGGGCCACATGCGAACCCTACCCCTACCCCCCACGATTTTTGAGGGGGAGGGTGGGGTTCACTTCGCTCGGGAGCTCCCGAACGAAGTGAACCCCACCCTCCCCCTCAGAAATCGTGGGGGGTAGGGGTAGGGTTCGCACGTGGCCCCCTATGGGTAGGCGCAGAAGCGGCCATGCGTACCATCACGTGTGCACGCAGTCCCTCCGCATATCCAGGCCTCCCAGATGGGGTCCGAGCAGATGGAGCCGGAGGATCGCACCGCATCGCCGATGCATCGGCGATGCGGCTCGAAGTGGAGCCCGTGTTTCCCCACGCCGACGTCGCCGATGCATTGGCGATGCATCGCCGATGCACCGCCGATGCACCGCCGATGTATCGGCGACGCAGTGGCGACACGGCGCGATCCTTCGACCCCATCTAGGTGGAGGAGGAGGAGGGAGGAGAGGGAGAGGAGGAGGAGGAGGAGGAGGAGGAAGAGGAGAAGGAGGCCTCCCATACCGCCGCCCCGTGCTCCTCTCGGCTGCCCCCCCGCTGGCCTCGAGAGGCTCCAGTGCGATCCGCTCGACCGCGGCCCGTGGCCGACCCCTCGCGTCCGACCCGAGGGGGGGGGGGATTGTGGGCTCCCCTCGAGGGTTCGATCTTCCTTTTGCCTTCTCCTCACCCATCCGTTCTCCTCTTTCATCTCCCTCCTCCTCCTCCTCCTCCTCCTCCTCCTCCTCCTCCTCCTCCTCCTCCTCCTCCTCCTCCTCCTCCTCCTCCTCCCCTTTCTCCTCCTCCTCCTCCTCCTCCTCCACCTGCAGTCATGCTGCCAAGAACCGTGGCCGCTCGGTCGGGCCTGCCGCCGCACCCGCCAGCGCTCTCGCCGCGGGGGCTGCCCCCAGGGGCCGGCCCCCGAACCCCTGAAGCCTGCCGCGAATTCCCCGTCGGGTCGGACGAAACGGAGGAGGAGGAGGAGGAGGAGGAGGAGGAGGAGGAGGAGGTGCCACCTTCCGCACGGGTACGGGGCCCGAGTTTTGGAAGTTGTTGGACATATGTGACATACCGAAGAGCCGTACAGTAACGACGTTCGAACATTTCCGGCGGATAGCTAAGGGTTCGGTGTTGCAGGAGTGGTATATGCTGACTTTGCGGCCTCGGCTGAGAAGCCAATTACGCATCACTGGCGTGCACGAGTACGGTTTCAAGAGGAAGCTGCGCACCGGGGACTTCATTTGCGTGATGCGAGAGCTGTTGTTTCTTTCGGATGTGTGGGGGTTGTCCTTGTATAGCGCTTCTCAGGACTTGTTACGCGCATTCGACATCATGAGCAACGAGAGTATTGCATAGTCTCTTATGCAAATGTGTGCCTCCCACGGTATGGTTGCGGCGATCCTTCAGGAACTGGCAGGCGTGCGCGGCAAGTTTACAATTTCAGGGGCTGGTGACACTGAGCATTTCGATGTTCGCAAAGGTGGGAAGCAGGGAGGTGCAGAAACTCCCGACATCTGGAACGCAATGGTGGAGTGTCGTTTACAGGCTCTGGTGGCGGCTTGGAACTTGCGCGGTTTGGGGGTCCCACTGGAGGGCGGATTGGTGAACCACGCTATTTGGGCAGACGACGTGTTCTTGTTCGCGACAGACCCCGCGGACCTGCAAAGTATGACCCACGAGCTGTCCAGTGCAATCATTAAGATTAATTTGCAATGGAAGCCGACTTCTTTGCAGTGCATGGCGTGCGGGGCGGCTGCAGGGGAGTGTATCTCCCTGACAAGTTCGGCAGTGCCGGAAAGCAGCCTGAAGTATACGGAGCTGGAGTACATAGAGTGCTTGGGAGTGCTGTTGGACGCTTCGGGGACGACCGCACGCAGCGTTGAACACCGGCTGGGCCTTGGCGACGGGAGGTTCTACAAGCATTGTTCTCTTCTGCAAGGGCGACAGGGTATCCCGGCTCGTCTCGTGGCATGGGCATCTGCGCCCCAGGATACCGCTTCTTTCGGGAGCGAGTCCTGGCATCTCACACAGGGTATCCTGGAGAAGTTGATGACGTTGGATTTTCCCCATGAGGCGCATGTTCAAAGTTCGCCCGCGCCCAGGTGGACAAATCACCCGATGGTTCAAGTTGACTGGTATACTCATGCTGCACCACCCAGTCTTGACCATAGTGTACATGAACGCTTGGCGAGAAGTCGATTTTCCATTACCCAATGGTCACGCGCCTTATCGTTGGGCTCGGGAACACCTGAATGCTCTCGAGTGGCAGTTAATGAAAACCTTTGGAGATCGCGCCCGACAGCGAGAAGGGCTCTTGCAGGCGAGGTCAGGGCATCGACAATATTAGGAAGACGTCTTTGTGGGACTATGGGGCGCTGAGTGGAGGAGCCGCAGAGCAGCCTACAGAGACATGTCGGCTTGGAAGAAACACAGTCCTCAGTTCGTCAACGCCGTGTGCCGCAAATGGTCCGTCCCGCTGCTGCAGGAGCCGGACGAGCGAGTCACGCTCAGGTCGGTAGATCATCTTCCACAACGTTTTGAAAGTTTGGGGAATCTGCCGCCAACGGCGCACCACCCAGACGACAACCAGTGGGGTGAAAGTTGCCGGCGCTTGAGTGTAGTGGTGGATTGCAGACTGTTGTCCGACCTCTTGAACGGCGTGGCCGTCGCAGCTACAGAGAAGCACCGACCGTCGTTGATTCGAATGGCCCGTTGTTTGGAGCAGTTGTTGGCAAGAGGATGGGCTAGCAGAGCAGTTTGGGTAGTATGATAGAATGGAGACCTCGTGCATTCAACGCTCAAGCGGGCCATTTCGCCAACGTTGCAATGAATACTTCGCAATCCTGGAGGCGTGTCGGCATCGTCGAAGCCAGAGAGCATGTGATGAGATGGCAACTTACGCATGTATAGCGATGGTGGCTACCGTGCAGCGGAGGACCGGGCATCTGCAGCATGGGTGTTCTACGCATTAGACGTCAAGGGAGTTCGTGGGCGTATACCATGGTAGGTCATGCAAGCATCAGTATACACGGGGCGACCACAGATTTTCATTGTTGAATGCATTGCTGACGCGCTTGTCGATGTAGTGTCAAATTCATAGTATCTCTCCGGGCCGATTGTGATGCACTTGAGGCGCGCCATGGCGTCAAGCCTTGTGGAAGGAAGGGAGGAAGGAGGAGGAGGAGGAGGAGGAGGAGGAGGAGAAGGAGGACGGAGGGAGGAGGAGGAGGAGGAGAGGAGGAAGAGGAGGAGGAGGATTAGGAGAGGAAGGCAGGAGGAGGAGAGGAGGAGGAGGAGGAGGAGGAGGAGAGGAGGAGGAGGGGGGGGAAGTCAGCATGGGAAGCATCGGCCCCTAATCGCCCACTCCGCGCCCGGGGTCCCGGGCCTGCCCAGGGAGCGCGCGTTTGCACTGGTCGAGAGCTTCTCGCCGACCCCTCGGCGATGTCTTGCCGATTCCAGGTCGGCGTTTCCTCCTCCTCCTCATCCTCCGCCTCCTCCTCCTCCGCCTCCTCCCCCTCCCCCTCCTCCACCTCCTCCTTCTCCCCCTCCTCTTTCTCGGATTGCCTCCTCCTCCTTCTCCTCCGCTTCCTCCCCCTCCTCCTCCTTCGTCCTCCTTTTCCTCCTCCTTATCCTCCTCCTCCTCCTCCTCCTCCTCCTCCTCCTCCTCCTCCTCCTCCCTCTGTCGTGCCGCGCCGCTGTTTTTATCTCTTTCTCTCTCTCTCTCTCTTTCTCTCTCTCTCTCTCTCTTTCTCTCTCTCTTTCTCTCTCTCTCTCTCTCTCTGCGTGCCCGGAAGGAGCAGCTGGAGGCCATGCCACAGGGGAGCATCGATTCGCAGCTGGCGAGGGTCCAGTCGCGCAGGACGAACACCGAGGCCAAGGAAGAGGATGTCGACAAGGAGGAGGACGAAACAAAGGAGTTCTTAGCGGAGGACGAGAACAGAGACCTTGCGACGACCGACCAGATCGACAAGATGCAGGAAGAGCAGGAGAACATGCAGGGTTTGATGGACGTAGAGTCGGAGCTACAACTACGCCTCGCGAAGCGGAACAAGGTGCCTGGGGCGGTGGCCGTCGACAAATTTGGGTTGGAGATCACCAAGCAGCCGGAGTGCGAGAAGGAAATGAACACCATTTTCCGCGACGAGAAGTGCTTCGTCGGCCACGAGGACGTCTGAGGAGGAGGACGGGGAAAAATGATAACACGAAGGGTGACAGTAGTAAAATGACGACTAATGATTTCAGAAAATTCGACTAGGGATGAACATAATAATACCCCTAGTGACGATGGCCATACGAAGGAGCATGCGAATATTAATAATACCACGAGTAAAGATAACAAGACCACAAGTAGTAAGAAGAAGAGATATACAATCATAGTAATACTAATAAGAAGAAGAATACGAATAATAATAAGAAGAAGAAGAAGAAGAAGAATAAGACGACGACACATAAGAATAATAATAATACACATGTGGAATGTAGGGGAATGAGGAGGACGAGGCGGAACGAAGAGTAGAGCGCTGTGGCGAAGAAATGGGTTGCTGGCAGCGTGGAGCAGCGAGGCCGAGGCGCGACGCGGCGGGGCGGCGGCATGGGCAGGCGAGAGGACGAGCAGGCGGAGGAGGAGGAGGACGCCCTGGACCCCCAGCAGGAGGAGGAGGAGGAGGGGGAGGAGGAGGAGCAGGAGCAGGAGGCAGGAGGAGCATTAGGAGGAGGAGGAGGAGGAGGAGAGGAGGAGGAGGGAGGAGAGGAGGAGGAGAGGAGGAGGGAGGAGGAGGAGGAGGAGGAGGGAGGAGGAGGAGGAGGAGGAGGAGGAGGAGGAGGAGGAGGAGGAGGAGGAGGAGGAGGAGGGAGGAGGAGGAGAGGAGGAGGAGAGGAGAGGAGGGGGGAGGAGCAGGAGGAGCAGGAGGAGGAGGAGGAGGAGGAGGAGGAGGAGGACGAGGAGGACGAGCAGGGGAGAGGACGAGCAGGCGGAGGAGGAAAGTGGCGTGAGGTCGTTTCCCATTCGTTGTCTTGCCGATCGACCTGAGCCCACGCACCCCCGCTCCCTTCCCCCCCCCCTGGAGTAGATCTTGGCTGTTTTTGGCGACTTCTTCGAGCAGGTGGAGCCTCGCCCATAATGGACGCACTGCTGCAAGCAGTCGCACTAAGCAGAGGTCCTTCCTCCCAATGTCGAAACGCCGAAAGAACGCTCAGCATGCTGGGCACAAGGAGGAGGGCCCAGACTCGCCGGGCGAGATCAGCGCCTACGGAGCCGCGCAGGACCAGAAGGGCGAGTGGGAGGCGGCCAAGGACGCGGGGGGGGGGTGCAATGAGTGTCTGCCCTCCTCCCAGCGGTTCCCTCCTTCCTCTTCCCTCTTGCCCTCCTTCCTCCTGCCCTCCTGCCTCTTCCCTTCCTTCCTCCTTTCTCCGTCCTCCACACACGCGCCGCAGTTCCCCCTTCCCTGCTTCCCTCTGGCCGCTCCCTCCCTCCCTCCCGCCTCCCCTGGTGCCCCGAGCCACCGCCTCACCACCTGGCTCGCTCTGCTGAGAGCTCCATCTCTCCCCACAGCTGCCAAAACGTAACGTCGGACCTGTCCCTCTACGGAAGGAATATTCAAAAATAGTTAAGAACAAATGGTCGGGGGACGATTTTTGTCGACTGTATTTGCAGATCTGTTGAGTATTTCTGTTCTTCGTCGAAGATCCGCCTGTCAAGGGACGTGCCCGACCTGAGCCAAAGCCCGTCTGCCTCGTCCACGCCCTCCCACGCGCCCCTCGCGCCTCCCTCGAGCAAAGTGCCGAAGAAGAGCGCCTGGCGACGGCGGCGGCCGGTCCTGGGCATCAGCCATGCGCCACACGGGCATGCGTGCACCCTCTCGCCCTCTTGCACCCTCCCTCCCTCCTCCTCCCCCTCCCCCTCCTCCTCCTCCTCCTCCTCCTCCTCCTCCTCCTCCTCCCTCCTCCTCCTCCTCCTCCTCCTCCTCCTCCTCCTCCTCCTCCTCCTCCTCCTCCTCCTCCTCCTCCTCCTCCTCCTCCTCCTCCTCCTCCTCCTCTTTCGATGCGGCGGTGGCGCGAGCGCGGGCGTCCGAGGTGGGACGCCGCACGTGGCCCAGAGCCGGCTGGCATCGCACGGCCTGCGCCTTCGGAGAAGCCGCGATCGTTCCAGGCTCGCCTATCCACGTGCGGTCCGAAGCCACCGTCGACGCCATCGCGGCGTCAGCCTCTCGCACGGCTGGCACAGGGTTCAGACCAACCCGAGGAGGGGGCCCTTCTGCTCCTTCTGGTCTGGAGCTCCACCTTGGAATGCTCGTCGTGTTTCGGGGGGGGCAAAGGGGCGGCAAAGAGGGGGGTGAGGACTGGGGGGGGGGGGGGATCATGGCGGGGGCCACGACATCTCCCCAGATTTCATGGCGCCTCTTCTTAGTTCAATGCGTCCCGGCCCCCCCCCCTTGGGCCGCGCACGTGCCGCTGGCCATATTTGCGCCTCCCCCCCCTCTTGGACACCGCTCTCTTGGCCACCCACGAGAAGAGCAGACATCGTCGAAGGGAAGTGGAGGACGCCCGGTCGCAAATCGTGGGAGCCTCGTGCACCCTCGCAGCTCTGTCTGCAAGGGCGCGCTGGCGTCGTTCGGCGCCTGGCGATCGATGAGGTCGCGCCGGTTTCGCGTCGGCTAGCCTCGATTCAGCTCTGCCACGCGCAGAGGGGGGTGGGGGGAGGGGGGAGGGCTTCTTAGAAGCACCCCTGCTTCTTAGAAGGCGCGGGCCTTATCTATAGATGTAAGGCCGTCGCCCTCTAAGAAGCAGGGCGCTTCTAAGAAGACTTCCCCCCTCCCCCTACCCCCTTTTGCGCGCCGCCAAGTTCCCCTCTTGGCCGCCCTCGAGTGTTTGCTTCCCGACGTGGGGCCCCGTGCCGTCGAGTGGCCCAGGCTGCCGCGCTGCGGCGGTTGCCGGCGCGGCTCCCTCCCCGCTCGGGGCTCGGGAGGCAGGGGGCGGTGCAGGCGGGGGTCCGCCAGAGCGCCCGACCCTGCAGGATCCTGCAGGGCCAGGGTCGCAGTGGCCCGAGTTTGGGAGCAGGATCCTGCAGGGTCTTGCAGAGGCCTTCGCGCTGCAGGATCTTGCAGGAGTCTGCGAGGCCTGACTGGCACCGCCTCCCTCCAGGCAGCTGAAGTCAATGGGGATCACCGAGAGTTGAAGAATCCCGAGTCCTGATCGCACGGTGAAAAAAGCTAGCCTAACTTGGGGCCTCCGTCTCTGCATACGCGTTAATCCCTCTGGGTGGTTCGCGTCAGTCCCTCCGCCTCGGCGCTATGGGCGCGGCTTCCTGCTGCGTCACGCTCGGTCAGCGCGCGCCGGACAAAAAAAACGATACATCTTCTGACCAGACCCCCTTACCCCGAATGTCTTAGGCCTCTTGGCTCAGGTCCGCTCCCAAAGGATGCCGAGTCCTGTCATTGCTAACCGTGCAGTGGCCAGTTTGCGCGGGGCTCTCTGGGGTCGCTTCTGGGGCCGCCACCTGATCTTCGGTGGAGGAGCTCTTCGTCTCGAGCTGCCTCCAGCAATCCTGGCACCATGCCGGCGCAGCATTCTGGGTTGCAGCTATTCGAGAAGGCATAGGGGGCCTGCTGGGGGGCTCCTGGGTCAGAAGGCTGCAATTCTTGGTTCGTGGTCCCACTCTTGGGCCCTTATTGGGGCCGACTTGGCGCCTTCTGGGGAAGTCTTGGGCGCCTCTTGGAGCCGTCTTGGAGCTCTCTTGGGCCGCCTTGGAGCTCTCCTGTGGGCCTCTTGGGCCGTCTCGGGGGCGTCTTGGGGGCCTCTTGGGCCGTCTTGGATCGTAGGAAACTTGAAGAGGCGAGGAGCTAAACAACAGCGAAAAACATATAACACCAATGCTGTTTGCCTCTCGGGCCCTTCTTGGGGGCCTCGTGGGGGCCTTTTGGCCATCGCTGGGCCTCCTAAACTTTCTTGGAGCGGAAGCATTGTCGATTCGTGTTCAGCCCCTTGGGCCCTTTTTGGAGCCGTCTTTGGGCCCTCTTGGGCATCATTTGGCACCTGTTGGGCCGTGTTGTGGCCTCCTGGGGGCCTCTTGGGCCATGTTGGGGCAGTCCTGGTGGCCTCGGTCGTCTTGGGACCGCGGAAGCTCGGAAAGGCGAGAACCCGAAACGCAGTAAAACACATATTGACCGTCAATCATGTTTGTCTCTCGAGACCATCCTGGGACGGCTCTAGGGGCTATCTCTGGAGACACCTCGACGGCCTCGCGGGCCGTCTTGGAGCGATATTGGGCCGTTTCGGAGGCACTTGGGCCTCGCTAGCGCGAGTCTTTGCTAGTTTGGGAAGGGCTGTGGCCTCGGGAAGAGGGGGCAGTGCATGCAGCCTTGCGCGTCCAGAGAGGGTGGGGCCCCGTTAGAAGGTTGCAGAAACCCTGCTGGATCGCACTTGGCATCCCAGCACGCCCCAGCGTGCCAGGGGGCACGGCGGCGGAACTAGGAGAAGAAGGAGGAGCGAAGGGGGGCGTTTGTCCGTTGTCGATCGTCGGCGCGACTCGAGTAGCAGCACGGAGCGTGCAAAAGGAAAGGGGGAGGGGGAGGAGGAGGAGGAGGAGGAGGAGAAGAAGTAGGAGGGCGAGGAGGAGATGAGCACCAGCAGCAGGAGGGGGAGACGGAGAAGTGGAGGAGGAGGAGCAGGAGGAGGAGGAGGAGGAGGAGGAGGAGTTGCAGGAGGAGGAGGAGGGGAGGAGAACGAGAAGGGAGGAGGAGGAGGAGGAGGAGGAGGAGGAGGAGGAGGAGGAGAGATGTGGAGCAGGAGGAAGGGAGGTGAGGAGGGCGAGAGCACATGGGAGGATGCGGGAGCACGTAGGAGGACGCGCGTCGCCCCGCGCATCCGCCACGCACGGCTGGAGGGCTTCGGCAGGGGCGGTTGGCCCAGGAAGAAGAGCATACGCATCTCTACGGGCCCCGACCGCCCGGCGGTCTTTGACGAGTCCCCTCTGGCGAATCCTCGTGACGACCGCCCCCGGGCTGTCCACCCTTTCTCCCCTCCTCCCCCCCTCCTCCTCGCTCGCCCCTCCTCCTCCTCCTCCTCCTCCTCCTCCTCCTCCTCCTCCTCCTCCTCTTCCTCCGTCTCCTCCCTCCTCCTCTCCTCCTCCGTCTCCTCCTCTCCTCCTCCTCCTCCTCTCCGTCTCCTCCTCCTTCTCCTCCTCCTCATAATCATCATCATCATCATCACCATCACCATCACCATCACCATCACCATCATCATCATCATCATCATCATCATCATCATCATCATCATCATCATCATCATCATCATCATCATCATCATCATCATCATCATCCTCATCCTCATCCTCATCCTCATCATCATCATCATCATCATCAGCACCATCATCATCATGGCCACTTTGGCTCATGCATTTGCTGAGTCAAGGGCCATAGGGTGCCCGTGCGCCCCCCGCTGCGCCTCCGCCTTCGCCTCACTTGGATGGTCTACGCTGCTCGTCTGAGGTGGCTCGCCGACCAACTCGCACAAGGTAGGCAGGCTCGTGCTCGCCTCAACTCGTACTCCGACCGCATGACCTTCAACTTCGTCCTCTTGCCGATCTGGGACCCCACTATGCTCAACAGCTTTGCGAACCACCTCGTCCAGCTCATGTCCACTCACTGCAGGACGCCGTTGTTGTCGATCATGGGCACTCCTCGTCGACAGGCGCGTCCCACATATCGGTCTCCATGAAGCGCGCTCCTCCTGCTCGTGCTTTTGATCAACCTGCTGGTAGAGACCCGGGTGGTCATGACGGCGGTGAGGAACCTGGGCGCGTGGGCCCTCCCCATGGTCGTCGGCATCGTGCTGCGCCTCGGCTGGCTCCTGATCCTTGGCACGGTCCTGGGGGTGCGGGCCCTCGGGCTGCCGCGGCGGCGGCGCACAAGAAACCTAGGGCCCGTGGCCTCCCTTCTGCTCCATCGTTCCCTATGCTTTGGGCTGAAGGCGTTCGCCTTGGGCCTTTATTTCCATAACGAAGCTGTTCGCGAAGCGCCTCTCCATGATGACGCTGCTCGCCCTGGGCCCTTCCACGATGATGCTGTTCGTCCCGTGGCTCTCCATGGGGGAGCTGTTCATGACGGGCCTCTCCACAATGCAGCTGTTCGCCCTGAGCCTCTTCCTGGCGGTCTCTCTGATGGCGATGGTGATGCCAAGCCTCTCCCTGGTGAGCGTGTTCGCGCCGAGCCTCTCCACGGTGAAGCTGCTCTTCCTAGGTCACTCCCTGATGAAGCTGTTCGCCATGAGCCTCTCCGCGACGCTCTTCCTGATGAAGCCTTTCGTCCCGAGCCTCCAAAAGCTGTTCGGCAAGCACTTGTGGTTCCTGGCGAGTTTCTTCCTGAAGGCCAGCTGGTCATTCCTAGAGGTCGTGCCGATCTTCCTCAGCGCCGTGCTGATCCTGGTGATGGCCGTGGGCTTGGTGATGACCTCTGTCGCGTCCCACGTGTGGACCTCCTATCCAGTCTTCCTGAAGGTCGTGCCGTCGTTCTTGATGAGCCTGCCCGTGCAGTTCCTCCACGTGAGCTTGGTGGTGACGCTCCTTGTCGTGCCACTGGTTGTTCAGTTCTCCTTCCTGGGCCTGGTCGTGGTAATCGTGGAAGTGCAGATCTACGTTCTGAGCAGGGTCGTGCGTGTCCTCCTGATGGTCGACCTCACGATCGTGATGCTGTCGCTATACCCGCTGGTGGGAATAGTCGAGGTGCTCTACTTGACCATGGTCACCATCTCTGGACCTGGCCGTGGGAGCCGTTGCTATGTGGCTGCCGCTCTCCGACGTGCTGGCGCTTCTCCGACGCCTCCTGAGGGTGACTCTGTCTTTGAAGCTGGGCCTTCAGCTTCGTCCTTTCCCTCTGTGCCGACGTTCCCCGCTCTATCTGAAGTGGCAGCTGGTGCAAGAGTTGCCGAGGCGACTGCTGGTGCGCACTCCGTGGTACGCAGTGTGGTCAGACACTACATGGCGAGGTACGTTGAGGAGTTAGCCGCACGAGGTGCTTCAGCTTCTGAGTGTCGTCACGTGAAGGCCTATCTTGCTAGGCGCTCGAATGCCTGGGTCACTAGCGCTGTAGCCCGGCAAACGGCGGTATCGAGACAATTCGGTTTTCTTGGGGGCCAGCTCGCACATGTGAATTATATGATTCAAATTTTGAGGTTACGCATGCATGCACAGGTGAATGAACTGATTCTTTGCGAGATTCGCAACAATTTAACACGCCAGGCACTAGGGAGGGAAAAAATCATCATCAGCATTCGTCATCATCATCAGCACCATCATCATCGTCATCGTCAGCATCATCATCATCATCATCGTCATCAGCATCATCGTCCTCATCATCACACCGGCTCCTCCTCCTGCTGCTCCTCCTCCTCCTGCTCCTCCTCCTCCTTCTTCTCCTCCTCCTCCTCTTCCTCCTCCTCCTCTTCCTCCTCCTCCCTAAGGTAGCAGTGGTGGGAGATTGGCCCATCAGGAGGTCAGGGGGGGAGCATCGACCCCCTTCCGCCCACCCATCGCCAGTGGGGCCTGAGGTGTCCCAGCCTGCTCAGGAGCATGCGGTTTCGCTGTCGGAAGCCTATCGCGGATCCATCGGCGACTCGCCACCGATGCCAAGTCAACGTGTCCCTCCCTGGGCCAGCCCCCCCGCCCACCATTCCCCCTCGGGAGGAGACCGGAGGTTGGGGGGTTGAGATGGAAGCGGGACGGAGATTCTTCCCGTGCGCGGGCGAGGCGAAGCTGCGTGGGCGGGCGAGAGGAATGACTCCGCTGTTGCCAGGGCGAACCTCCCCCATGTGGGCGGGCGGTGGCCGGTTTGCCCCGCCGTGGTGTCCAGTCGGTATATTTTCGGTGTCGCGTCGCTGTCGCGTCGCTGTCCCGTCGTTGTCCCGTTGGTGTCCCGTCGGTGTCCTCTCGGTGTCTCACCGGTTTTCTTTAGTGAGATCGAAACTGGGCCGATAGCGGGACCAATAGTGAGATCGATAGTGATATCGATCGTGAGAGCGGAACTGAGATTGATAATGTTACCGCTAGAGGGATCGATATTGATATCGATGGTGAGATCGACTGCGTGAGACGTTGGTTCCTCCCCCCGAACCTTCTTATCACCCGAAAGGTTGTCGTCGAGGTAAGGAGTCTGCAGATGGTATTCATATTTGGCGTCGGTTTGGTGATCGGGCCGTTCTTTGTGGCGTTTCTTTCGTAGCAGCGACATCCGCTGGGTGGTTAACTATGGGGAGGCATGAGGCACGTTGATCACCGCATGCGTAGCGGCATGCACATTATGCGAACGGACGCCACAACACCGTAGACACGTTTGCGAGGTGGCCCAGTGCCATCGCCAAAATGATGTCGCAGGGTGCAGGATTATTATTTGGGGCTGTTTTGGAACATTGCGGCCGTCTAAAGGAGGAGTTCTGGAAGGCGGACCGAGCTCGACTTCGTGCCCGCGAGAAGAAGGGCGACGTGGAATTGTTGCTGAAACAATCGCACAACGCTACTAAAAAGGCCGACCTGGAGCGGGAACTGGCCGTGACCTCGAAGGCGCTCAAGGACGCACAGTTTTTGCAAGCGAACGCCTTTGGGAATGTGGGAATGAGTTCGTGCGGAGGCGTTTTGGGGATTATCGTAGGGGGGCATGGCGTTTGCTATATTGGGGCGAAAACGGGGGACCGCGACAAGCTAATTCAGACGCGGGGGCGGTTATAGTTCCAGCAGCCACAAGGAAAAAGAGAAAGTTTGGATGCGCGCCAAAGACTCGCTGGAACAGAAGAGCGTTGAGTTGGAGAAGGCGTATTCCGAGCTGCGACGTACACAGCAAGGTGTGGAGAAGAAGGACCTCGACAGCGTGGAAGCAGCTGACAAAGTCCGGGCTCAGGCGAAGAAGCAGATCGCGACGCAGGAGGAGCGCGCAGGAGACGTCGAGGAGGAAGAGGCAAAGGTTCTTGACGACAAGGCTCGCAGGGTCGGCGACGAGGCGGAGGCCGCGGAGGGCGACGAGAAAGATGAGCTCGAGAAGGATTCTCACTACAGAAACCGTTGACGCCAACCCCACCCGAACTTCAGACGCCGGCGATCTGCGGGGAGCGGGCGTGGTGCTGAAATGACTCCTGGCATGGGAGAGGCTGTGCATCATTCGTGCACCCAGCAGACCCAGCAGGTATTTTCAGCGCCAGGGGCGGAAGGGGACTGTGCGTATTTGTTGTTGTCTCCTCCTCATCCGTGCCGTCGTCCTCCAGCTTCTGTGCCGAGAGGAGGCCGCGTACTACCGGAAGTGGAGCAAGGACGCCCACGACGAGGGGGCGTCGTTGCGCAAGCACAAGATGAAGGACACCACAGGGCTTCCCATCGCAACTTGGCGCCCGTGCAGAGGGGGGGGGACGGCTTCTCAGAAGCAGCCTCCCTCTATGAAGCCTTCCCCCTCCCCCTACCCCACTGCAGGGCTGGACCTAAACGTTGTTTTGCTGGACTTCGGCTGTTTTTTTTTTGTTGTTGGCAGGGAGGCACCGGAAAACAGGTAGGGCACAACGAAACACCAAACGAAAACAGAACGAAAAACGGCGTTTAGGTCCTGCTCTTCCCCACGGTGCCAAGCGGATGGGCCCGCCAATCGGAGTTTCGGCACCGAGAGCGCGGTCCACGCTTTTCCTCCCTCCTCGCCTATCCGTATCCTTCCCTCCTCCCAGCGCCATCCTCTTCTAGCGTCTTCCTTCGCGCCTCCCCTTCCCTCCTTACCTCCCCATTCCCTTCTCCCAGCGCGTCCTCCCACTCCATCCTCCAAACGCCTCTCCTCCCTCCCGCCTCTCTCTCTCTTTGCCTTCCCACCACTCCAAATTACCTCCTTACTCCCATTCTGCCCCCCCCGCACATCTCATAATTATGATTCCCAACTTCCTATCTCGGCGGCGAGTCCAGGCGGAAAGCGAGAGGGGGCATGCCTGCTCAGAAGGCGGCGGGGGTTCTCAGAAACCCTCGGGCCTTCTGGGAAGCCGGTTTTGAGGAAGCTTTGACACCTTTTCAGACGGCCGGAGGCCTTCGGAGCCTTCTGAGCAGGCTCTCCCCGTTGATTTCTCCCCTTTTATCTGCCCTGGCCAAGTCCGTGAATCGTTTCGTTGTGGGTCAGACATGGTTTTCCGAGGCGAACTTTCCACGGGGAGTGTTTTCCAGATCTCGTAATAAGAGGGAGGGGGTCTGGACCCTCCAAGGCAAGCCATTTCAGACCCCCCCCCGTGGGAGAACCCTCCAAAACATCGTCCCCAGACCACCCCAGGCCCTCCAAGATAGCCTGGAAGAGACCCCCCCCGAAATGAGACCCCCCTCCCTTTTGTAACGAAATCTGGTGTACTCGGTCGTTTTGGCATGGTGCTGTCACGCCTCGACGCCCGCCACGCTCCTGCCCGTGGCACACACTGCCGGCCGGGGTGTGCAGCGGGCGTCCTGGGGGGTCCTTTCTTCCCCAAGGGCTCCCAGGAGGGCGCGAAGTTATTCGCGCTTCGCGCTTCGCCGTCCTCCTTCCTCCTCCCCCTCCTCCTCGTCCTCCTCTTCTCCCCCTTGGGGGGCGGCGCGAGAGCGCGAAGTTATTCGCGCTTCGCGCTTCGCGCAGCGCGAAGCGCGAACTTAGGAGCCCTTGCTTCCCCGAGCAGCGCTTGCATTTCGGAGTTCTTACAGTCGGGGCGCTGAGGAAGGAACCCTTCTCGTTGGCGTGGGGCTCGGTGTTCCTGGATTGTTTTACAGTTTGCGTTGGGTTACCCATGGGAAATCGAAGTTTACCTTATGGGAAAGGGGCCTCGGTCCACATTTAGGGCCAGTGTGCATCGGGCTTTCTGGGTTTTTTCTTTCCCGAGCAGCGCTTGCATTTCGGAGTTCTTACTTGTCTCTCATAAGAAGCTGCCTGCGCACGGTGGCCAGTTCTGCCGCCCTGTACCAGGAGGGGACGAAACACACAGACACCATTCATCTCGGATTCCCCAGAGGATATTTTGGAAAATATGGGAAGTGCGGGGGAAGACAGAATCTCAGAAACTATGGGAAACTAAAGGGTAATATTTTTATTTGTGTGTATTCATTTGTGTGTCCTGGGGCCCCTTCATCGTAGCCAGCCACGTCCGCCTCGTCGCCGCCCGTCGCCCGTCGCCTGGTCGCCGCCGCCGCCGCATCCTCGCCGCCCGTCGCCGCCTGTCGCCGCCGATCGCCTGGGCCTGGTCACCCTGTGTGAAAAAAAGCACACACACAAAAACAAATACACACAACAAAACACACACACTGTCGTAAAAAAAAAAGACACCGTGTGTGTTTTGTGTGATTTGTTTCCCACAGTGTGTTTTTTTGTTTTTTTTTGTTTTTGTGTGTGTGTGTGTGTGTGTTTTTCCCCCGTCGCCGCCTCGTCGCTGCCAGCCGCCGCCCGGCGCCCGAGCCTGGTCGCCGCCTAGTCGGCCGGGCCCGGTTGCCGCCGTCGCCGCTGCGTCGCCGCCCGTCGCTGCTCGTCGCCTGGGGGAAAAAACACAAAAACACTAAAAGAACAAACAAAAAACACAGAAAGGCACACTGTGGGAACAAAAAAAAACACACACAAAACAACACACAAACAAAACCCAAAACAAACACAACAAACACACTGTGTGTGTTTTTACCACAGTGTGTGTGTTTTTTCCCCACGGTTGCCGGTTCCGCCTCCACGTGGCCGCCGTCGCCGCCACACGTAGATTCCCTCGTGTGATAAGAAGATGCAGGCGACCACCCCCACGCCACCCCGGAAATATCGCCCCCCGTTGGGATAGTCTTTTTTTTTCCTCGTGATTTACTGGCTGGCGCCGCACCGCCGACCCCTTGGGGCGGCAGCAAGAGTGAACAACGGAGTTTGCAGAACGATTTCTGGGGACTCTTGGGGTTTCAGCTTCTTGGGATTTTGTCGGGGGCGGTTGGCGGATCGCGGTTCTGCTTTTGGGCTTCTTCGGGCTCACCTGGCAGCACTTTTGAGGCCTCTTGGAAGCCGTTATGAGGCCTCTAGGGGCATCGTTTGGGCCTCTTGCTGGCCTCGTGGGAGCCTCTTGCTGGCCTATTGGCGCCTACTCAGGTTTTTGGGGCCGAATGCTCGAAATGTTCACTCAGGTTCCCCCTCTGGGCCTCCTCTTGGGGCCGTACTGGGGCCCTCATGGGTCGTTTTGGAAGCTTCTGCGGCCGTCTTGGAGCCCTCTTGGGCCGTCTTGGAGCCCTCTTGGGGGCCTCTTGGAGCCCTCGTGGGGGCCTATTGGGCTCTCTTGGGTCGATCTTAAAAGCTTTTTTGGCCGGTGTGGGTCTCGTGAAAGCCCAAGAGGCGAATGTGCTAAAATTTACGTTCCCCCTAGGGAGTGGGACGATCTTTGCTTCTGGAGGGCCTCTTGGGACGCCTCTTGGTGGCTTCTTGGGGCTTCTTGGGGGCCTCTGAGACCGTCTGGAGGCAATCTTGGCCGTCTTGGAGCGATCTTTCGGCGACTCGTAGCCCTCTTGGACCGTCCGGGGGGCCTTTTGGAGCCCTCTTGGCCAGTTTAGGGGCCCCTTGAGGCTCCAAGGGTGCGGCCGGCACCTTTGCCCCCCACCCCCCCACCCCACCCCCCTCCAAACCGGCCAGACCGGGCTCCCGGGGGAGGGGTTTAGGGAGGGGAAAGCATCTCACACGCCGTGACCCAAGGGGTCGGCGTATTATGCCTCATTGCTCATTGGGGATGCCCCTATGCCTCCCTCGCCCGTGTCAGATAACAATATGCGCGCGGACCCGTTGATGAAAAACATACAGCTCCAATAATATATTGGAAAGATTGCAGCGCAATCCAGAAGCGCGCCCCGCCGTCTCGCCCCCATGTCAGAATTGTGTTAAAACCTTGCAAGGGATATCTAGATTGAGATTCCCGAGCGAAATGTATAGTATAGTTTTGCAGAGCTTCTTTTCCACATGAGAAGAATTGCGCGCGCGATCCTGCGAATTCTGAGGCAAAACATATGTTTTGGAAAGCCACCGCGGCCACGTCGGTCGCGCAGAGATGCGCCAGCCAGCGCCAAGCGATCACCGCAATGGCCTCCGCGCAGGTTTTGCAAACCAAGTTGCCGGCGGGCGGGTGGGATGATTCGCTGGCACTAGAGTTGACAAGTGCAGGGTGAGTTGCACCACGTAAATGTTTCTTTCGTATTGGAATATCGGCACCACCGCCCCCCGCCCCGCCCCCCCAAGAATTTGTCGCCCCCCCATGAGGGGAAGTTCAACTTACGCGCGATTTTACATACGAGGCTACACCATTCCACTGAGCGCGCCTTTGTCGACCCCCTTTCATCCCTGTCAAATACTGTTACGCGCACATTCGTTGATCAGAAATCACCCAGTGACAAGACAAATAGCCAGGCGAAGGACCCAAACATACGCAGTTGTGAATACCGTCGTTGTATGCACCACATTCGGAAGAGCTCCCTATAGGGCCACGAAACGTTCGAGGGGTAGCAGCCGCTAGGGCCCTCGGTGGAATCCCTTATGGGGCCACGAAACAAGTGACAGGTGTGCCGAAATAGGTGCAGTGGGCGCATGCGAACGCAGCCACTGGGGCCTCCGGTGGAGCTCCCCATGGGGCCACAAAACGTGTGAGGAATGTGGCGAAATGGGTGCGGTGGGCGCGTGCGAACGCAACCACTGGCGCCTTCGGTGGAGTTCCCTGTGGGGCCACGAAACGCGTGAGGGTGTGCCGGAACGTGCTTGGGCGACGCATGCGGACGGTGGCAGTGGGGCCTTTGGTGGAGCTCCCTATGGGGCCACAAGCGTGTGACGGGTGTGACGAAATGGGTGTGGGGGACGCATGCGGGTCGTCTCCCTGGGACCTTCGGTGGAGCTTCCTATGGGACCACGAAATGTTGTACTAAACGCGTGAGGGGTGTGCCAAATTGGGCTTGGGGGACGCATGCGGGCGGCGGCACTGGGGCCTTCGGTGGAGCTCCCTCCCTAGAGGGCCATGAGACGTGTAAGGGTTGCGACGACATGGGTGTGGGTGACGCATCCGGGCGGTAGCACTGGGGCCTTCGGTCCGAAGCTCTTTATGGGGTTACGAAGCGTGTGAGGGGTGTGCCACATTGGGTTTGGGGGACGCATGCTGACGGTGGCACTGGGGCCGTCGGTGGAGCTCCCTATGGAGCCACGAAGCGTGTGAGGGGCGTGCTGAAATGGGTGTGGGGGACGCATGTGGGCGGTAGCAGTGGGGCATTCGGTGGAGCTTTATGGGGCCGCGAAACGTGTGAGGGATGTGCCGAAATGGGTGTGGGGTGACGCATGCGGGCGGTGGCAGTGGGGCCTTCGGTGGAGTCTCCTATGGGG